AAGTAAAAAAACAAAACAAAATACATTGACATAGTAAGAAATAAATACACATTTACACTGATGCAGTGGCGCACACAAGGGGGGGGGTCCTGGGGGTCTAGACCCCTCCAAAGCCCTTGATTTTTTTCCGATTGATTATAATTCTAAGTATATAGTACGCAAAATTTAATTAATTACTTGTTATTAATGATTAATTTTATTAATTAATGCTAATTATTTATTCAAAAATTAGTTTTTTACTGTGTTTTGTTCCCGAAAATCGACAAATTCAAAAGAATCATGATACAAGAATGGTGAACTTTCGACCCCTGACCCCCCCTCCCCTGGAAAAATTCCTGTGTGCGCTACTGCACTGATGTAATGCACTTAAAAATGTATCAGTAGCGCACAATGTATTTTATAATTAACTAAGCAATGCTAATTTAAGAGCAAGTTTAACAATTATCATTGACCCCATGGGCTTGTCATATATAAAATTATATCCAAAAATTAACACTTACCTTGATTATTTGTTCGGTTTGTAATTAATCCCTTTATTGCTGATTAAAAATTACGTGATTCGCTCTCCAATTCTACTGTTTTGTCTCGTAGGCATTCGTATGTGACGTATTAGTGGGGGAAGGGCAGGAATAAATAAGCTCATCCTCTTAAATAAGTAAACATTCTGCAAACGCTGCCGAGGTTTTTTTGTTGCATTACAAAGATTCCGCAAAAATTTCATGAATATCAGGACACAAAAAAGATCGTACTTGGGAAAGACGTATATATACCTCCTGGGCAATTAACGCTTTGACTGAGGGAGACGCCGGTGGTACTTAAGATGTTAAAGTTGCATTGTAACTTTAGCGCTAAAGTATAGTATTACTGAAATCAATATATTGTTATTATATGGAAAGGGTGGCGATGGAAATTATGATTGAATATTGGGTCTCCAATATTTGTGACATCTCACGCGTCTTTTCTTTAACAAGTCCTTTGGGTTCTTTGGGCCAGAATTAATGGCAACTCTTTTCCAACCAAATCCAAGAAATAAAATTTGAATAAGAGATGCAAATAAACGGACTTTAGGTATCGGATCTTAGAGCAAGCAAGATGGCAACGTAAAGGAATGTTAGACAATTGATGTGGGTTGTGGCAGTTGATGGTTACTACAGTTTGTGTTTCAAGTTTGAATGAGTTCTATCCATACATTGGTGCTCGATTAGAAGGAAGCCGTACAGTTGCATCCCATTGCATATAAAGACAAGAGCTACTACAAGCTATAATAAGGTAGGATCGATTACTTAATATTAGAATGGAGGATTAGGCGATTCGCTTATTGATATCGGTCTGAATTGGATTAGGTCTTATTATAAATATATATATTGTGTTTTGCGTATTGCGTCATCGTAGATTCTCGCATATTAATTATTATAATTGAATTTGTTAAAGGTTTAAGTCAGTGTTTCTCAAACTGTGGGGCGCGCCCCCTGGGGCGCAAGAACCTTACGAGGGGGGCGCGAGCATATCGAAAATTAAAATTTTAAAAAATAATTTATTTACTGGAATGAATTAAAACAAAATACTTTCAGACATAATAAAAAATGCACTTTTACTCTGATATAATTTATAAGCGCGCGCGCGATATGAGGTCAACAAAAATAAAAACTTCTTCAATACCTAATTAGCTATCTTTGATCCTATAACCAAATAAAAAAAACTTTTATTTGATTTGCAGTAATCCCATGATGAGAGATTTTTTTATTACGCTTTTTTTTAACCTCTATCATACTACTCTTTCAGAGAAAAACATATCCCAGAACCAGAATCTAAAAAATTTAGGAACATAAAAAATTCATCACTGTCATTATTTTTGAAATACTGCACATTATAGCTGTAATCTGTTTGATCTTCTAAGTTATTGGTACAGTTAGTTATGACCCCTCTCTTATGTGTTTGTTTCTCATTTATGGAAGTTGTAAGTAATGTATTTCTCTGTTGCGCTATTCTTAAACATATAAAGCATAATGAAAAAGGTTTTACACAATTTTTTTAGCAGTAACATACATATTATCATAATGAATATACTTTTTACCCGGAAGTGGTTGCGCGGGACACACAGATTACGAAATCGTTTATTCTGGCAAAACTGTTTATTTGTTACCAAAGAAAAATTGAAAAGTCCTTGAAAGTAGGTAAGTAAACTTTCTCTTAATTAAATTATTCACTGGAATCACGATTTGTATCGTGTACAATAAAATAATTATAAAAAAAAAGGATTCGGGTGACTCAATAAACCCACTCGACCGTATCGAGTGCGCGCCTGCTCCCAGGTTAAAACATGTTGAAGTCTTTTTGCTTTAAATATTAAAAATAATACAATAATTCTTCATCGGTATTTTATATTATTGTTCATTATCTAACATCAGTGGCGCACAGAAGGGGGTCCTAGGGGTCCAGATCCCCAAAGCCCTTGATTTTTTTTCCCGATTGATTATAATTCTAAGTATATAGTACGCAAAGTTTAATTAAGTATTTGTTATTAATGAATTAATACATACAATCATGATACAAGAATGGTGAACTTTCGACCCCTGACCCCCTTCTCCTGGAAAACTTCCTGTGTGCGCTACTGTTTAACATCATTTATAAATGCTAATTCTGTGAAGTTTAAAATTACAATTGGCTTAAAACTAATTATAATTTGTGTAACCATTTTAAAAAAATCATTTTCCATTTTTGTAAACATTATCGAGCAGTGACTTTTTTTTAATCCCAGTGACTTTGCACTGCAGTACCTTTTTAACTACATTATCATTTGACATTCGAATTATATGGGCCATTCAATCCATTCTATTTATTTTTCAATTCATATTATTAGTCCACACTCTCTTATATATCTTGTTCACGTTTTCAATCTTGTGACGAGCTCACGCAATTTTTCTTTAACATGTCCTTTGGGTTCTTTGGGGCTAGAATTAATGGCAACACTTTTCAAACCAAATCGAAGAAGTGAAGCGAGAAGAAAAGATGCAAATTAGGAAGCTTTTAAAAATCAAAACTTAGAGTAAGCTGTGTGGCAATTTGAGGAATGTAAAGATAATCCGTGGTTCAAGCGCGAAGAGGTTTTGGAAACATTAAGTGATAGCCAATAGAAGTTACTCGTGACAGAGAGAGAGCCCTTAGGTGAAGGTTCATACCATTGTACGCCAGTGAACCGCAACTTCAACTAGGAATATATAGATTGGTACTTCGTTGGACGATAAAGGTAGGAGTGACTATTTAAACATTCGGATCGGGGATCGAATATGAATTAAGCTTAGGCGAGTTGGTTATTGATAGCGTTCCGAGTTACATTATTTCGGTATTATATATATTTTGTGCTTAGCCCCCCACCGTAGATTCTCTCACATATATTATTATCTAATTTGTTAGACGCTTAAGTTAAAGATATTAATAAAGTCAGATTAAGATCATGTCTGCTTCTAGTTCTTCCGTTAATCCTACACCTTTAGCTCACGCTAATAATCAAGAAGAAGGGCACCCGAGGGGGCGCCCTCACAAGTATTAATAGAAGGTTGACCGATAGACCAGTTACATTACTTTCAAAATAAATGAAATACTAAAATCTTAATAAATAACTACTTATAATTTTCGCAAACGAAGTATTACAATGGTAATTTTACAGGAAATTATATTAGAAAATGTTATCCAGTAAGTCTATTTGTAGTTCCAAAAAGTAGATATTATACTCAATACAAAACCTTCCCAAACGCCTCAAGTAAAGACCTTTCTGTATAAGGAAGGAGTTAAAATTCACCACATTTTCCGAAACCGATTCTGGATGAAACAAAAACAAAATAAAAGAGAGAGAAGGGGAAAAAAGTATCATCCTATTCCAGAGAAAATTTTCATCATTACTTCAGCGGGAAAAAAGAAAGCTTTTTACTTTCGCTAATCTCTCGCACCGCTTAACAAAATGAAATGTGAGTGAAAGAAATATCTAATCCGTCGTGGAATTTCTCTTTCCTCTGACGTCTAATAGAGATAACGCTTACAGAAATCGGCGAAGAGAAAATACTGGAGAAAATCTCCAACAGCATTTAAAAAAGGGTTTGCCATCCTCCCCCTCATTGGCCCCCGATGAATCCTGCGTGGAAATTTAATTCTCCCTTTTCAGTTACTCCAATCAAGATATAACTTGGCTTGAAAAGAAAATGTGTTCGTTCAATGCTTTCCATTGATGGGCTGTAACACACAAGAATTCTTTTATTTGGTTTAGAGATGAGACCTCTCTTTTGGTCTGGCGGCTACATTGTATCTCTATTGTATGCGATGACAGTTATTTGGACGTTTTCGTTTTTGGAAAGACAAAAATGACAGTTTCCAGTTGTGTACCGAAAGGGTGATTTCGATTTTAGATAATGGCACTCTGGACGGAAGTATATGTTGCTTTCGAACTAGAAATAAAGGGCTTGCCTGGGATTAAATTGGGGCTTAGGCGGAAAACTATTGCTGGTGAACTTTACCAATTCCTTTTGCAGTAATTTCGAGGATGAATACCTTAATTAAACTATGTTATCGATTTGTAGCAGACAAATAGGGGTGTTCACCAACGATCTGGAATTTTCCGCGGGAAATACCGCCAAATATAGTATTACTTGTGTGTAAAAAGATGACTATATATTTAATTTGGTCTAATTAAAATACATTATTAAAATTTAAAGATACCAAATAATATAAACAAAATTTTAAGTCAATTCCTAGTTAAGTCAACAAAGAAAAATTTTATTTTAGTTACTTTTTGCTTAAAAATTACAATCAATATAAATACATATGACAGAATCGCAATATTAAGTGACAAAATAGAAAGTAAATTTCCTTGCAGGTTTCCATTTTCCTTCCTATATAAGGTGTTGGACTATTATTTTTTGTTTACTACCCCATTTATTAATTCATTAAATTTAATTACTCTAATAAAATAATATAGTAAAAAGAAATCACATTCTCAGAAATTAGGTTGTCCCAGGGGAAATTCATACCCATGACTTTCAGATTAGAAGTCTAACGCGGTATCCATTTCGCGACCGGGACACAAAGAGTGCAATTTTCCTTTCTATATATGGTGTTGGATTATTGTTTTCGTATGTTACTAATTATTCATTAATTAATGAATTAATATTTAAAAAAACTGTACTAACATCAAGTGTTATCCACTATAAATTTTAAATATATATATATATATATATATATATATATATATATATATATATATATATATATATAGCGAGAGTGTGAACTATATACTAGAAGGAATTGAAAAATATTAAATATCATAAACTGTAAGATATTTTAACAAAAGATAAAAAAATAATGTAATGAATATTTAAATGTAGACATACGTGGGAGGTTTTAATTGGAAACATTGTTAAAATTAAGATTTGTTTTATTCAAAATACAACAAAATGGGATTATATTACATCTTATCTTTAATTATTTATAGAGAATTCTGTGTGAATTTCAGTTCTTATTTTAGTTAAAATTTATTTTTATTTTTGGAATAAAGTATTTTAAGTTTATTCACAAAAAAAAATTTCCTGTGTAATATATTTATACACTTATCATGGAAATTGATAAAGAATGAATTATAACGAGATTATTAAATTTTTAATAAATAATAGTCGAATACTTTCTGAGATATTTTAAATCTTATAATACTTCTAGATAGGTAGCAGGAAAAGTTATTAAATACTGTTTTATTTTGAATTTTCTTTTTATTAAATCGAAGTAAAGAATAAATGTTGGCTGAAACCCAATAATAATTTAAAGTGAATTATTACATTTTACTTATGTTTTATGGTACTCATGCAATGAAAGGATTCCAAATTACTCTAAAATGTATTTATATATGAATTTTCATTCAAATTATCTTGCATGAAAAACACTTTCGTTTTGGAATATATCGGAACAAAAATATTAAGCTCAATTTTGAAGAAATGATTCCGAGATATCACCAAATTAATTGGATTTTTAATTATAAAACTATTTTCATAGAATATTAATGAATTTAAAAAAATGATGAAATTTATTTTGCTTTTATGCTTGTGTAATAAATGTTTTAATGGTGTAACTTACATACAATTTTAATATTTTTAACAGTTTTAAGTAATCCCTCCCATTCCAAATTAGACTTAGTTTCATAAAAAATTATTAAGAAATCAAATAAAGAATGTACATATTATCTCTAGTTTATCATTAATTAGAACTGTGACTTTTAACCCTTAACTTCCCCCTGTTGCATTTTTGCAACATATGATTTATTTTAATTTAACAGACTTAATACTTTTTTAATTACCTACAAATCACTTATCAGAGAAAAAAAGATTACTGCAACGAAATACATGCTAATTTTGTCACTACATGGAAGTACATTTTTTTCAGAAATCACAACAATTATAAAAATCTCTGATGCCTCAAGAACTGTGTTTTTGCTATAAAAAGAATCCATTATATTTTATGCTTCCTCTTGTTTATTGACGAAATAAGTTACCAGGTAAGAAATTTAAACATTTTATGCTGAATAATAAAATCTTCATACAAAAAAAATTTTGTAATTTACAGCACTACTGCGCAATGTTGCACTTCTGCAACAAACAAAACAATGATTGAAATTCAATTTAAAATAGCTTAAGTTTTTTATATATTTTCCCCTTTTATTATTACTTGAGAACTAGCTGATATAATTTTTTCATAGAAATTTAAAAAATTGCGAGGTTAAGTTTGAAAATGACTACAATAAATCTGGTTAGAAAATGGACCACGTATTCCGTACAAAGGAGAGCTAATATATATATATATATATATATATATATATATATATATATATATATATATATATATATATATATATATATATATATATTTCCATTTTCGATATATGCACAACAAAAAACTTCCGGTCTAAGAAAAAGGATAAAGACTAATATTTCCATTTATGTGAAGCCGAAAATAATTTGCACTGTTATTATTATTTTAAATTCAAAATTTTTAAGTGACAACTTCTTTACGCGCGTTTTTGCTGGAGAGTGAACTTGAAAGAACGTCACTCTCGGGTTTGTAATGCTCATTCGGCATTTTTCATCTGAATTTGGAAATCGTGCTCAAGGTCGTCTGCGACATAAACACCCCTAAAAAGACGTATGACCAAAGGAGGGCGTGGTAGCCTGTTACCCCTGACGTAAAAGTTTCTATAATCTTATACCTTAGCTTCGATCTCATTAGGCCGCCACCTCTTTCTATGAATGACGAGATTCTTTCTAATACCAGTAGAAGCATGAAAATTAAACATGCAATATTTTTAAAAAATAGGCTTAGAGACATAGAGAAATCCTGCACTAAAATTAAACTTAGAATGTAGATTTTTCTAAAGACAAATCAAAACATTTAGTTGATTTTTTAAAATCAGATTTCAATTTAATTATGTCAAATGATCCAAATGAAAGCACGAGGAAGTATGGAACAACGATTGACAGAGCTTTTTTCTTAGATATTTAAATAATTTTGAATCTAAAAGTATTTATAACCTATTTCAGTTACCATAAACCTGTTGTTTCCTTCTTAGAATATAATTAACTCATAAATGGGATTGTATATTTCGCAAAAAATATTACTTTATGAGTACAGACATATGAATAAATAATTTTATATACATATGAATAAATAATTTTATATAAAAATACTAATATCGCCTTGTTTTTTATTCACCGAACTAATTCCTGAAATATCATTACAAAATTTGAAGTTATCACTTCTATCGCGAGGTCATAATAAGCACACATACACTTTTTTAAATATCAATATAAATGGAATGGAGACATAACTGAGTTTTTGAGAACTACGATTTACAAAACTTTATTAAATCCATCAAAATAAACTAGAAAAAATACAATATCTCATTTCTGACCCATAACAAATACATACTCGTTCTATATAGAGCTCTCTTAACTATTATTCCAAAGAAAACAATCCTATTTCATAGCTTTTCATGGGAACTGAAAGCGAAAGAAGAAACAGATAGTGTTTATTGGAGCGCTTTCATGGTGACTCAACCAAAAGCCGTATTGCGATTCAAGCATTGCTTGAGAAGTCTTTTTCCAAGACTGATGAAGATGTTTCAGATACATTCCCATCTGTCGGCATTGTATGTATTTTTTTTCCTCTCTCGCTCTCATCTATCCTTTAAGTCATCGCTTTCCAAGTCATTCTTTACAAATAAGTTCCACCCTCCAAAACTCTGTCCCTTTTGTCCTCGACACCCAGAATGACGTATGCAACCTCCCCTTTCGATGGCCTAGATAAGTAAAATAAGGTCGTTTTCAAATACTCTTTTAATTCTTGTTTATTCTTTGGACATCACGGGTGAATATCATTACCCCAGTTTCCGTTTTGGCACTGAAATTAAGAAAAAGTGGAGGACGTTTATTTACTTTTATGCAAATATCCACAACTTTTGCTTGCGATGTTGTTCATTATGTTACAGTTGATTAAGAGTTTTCAGTCGGATTATTTTTGCCAAATAGCATTAGTTTCTTTGTGTTTTATCCATTGATGTATCCAACTCTGTTTGGGGTCTGTTTATATTTCTGAATATCGAATGAAGTTGTCTAGATATAATTTTTAATTAAAATTTGTTCAGTAAGCGTTCTAAAGCCTTTTGTGTTTTATTTGAATGAGATATTCTTAAATCATGAATGTGTATCAATTTTGTTATGGGTGAACAATTGCGACAACATAATCTTGCTGTTGGAAACGAAAGTCATTGAATATACATTTATGGAATAATACAAGAGATTTTATATTTTTCTTTCTAAAAACGGCATTGTTTTAAATAAAACAGACTTTTTCTTAACTTTAAAAATAATTTTTTTCTGCGTATGCATAATTAATTTAACAAAAAAATTGACTTGTTAATTTTTATTAGTACAATATTAGTCAATTTATCCCATATATTTAAATCTAAAAGGGTCCATAGTAAAAAGTAGCATTTTTTTAATAATATTTAACCCCGAAGAGTTAATTTTTATCTATGGAGCAATATTAAAGCGTGGTTAAAAAAAGACTATTATTAAAACACGAAGTTTTAAATATCATTCAAATGTCTCAATCATTTCTTGCATTACTGAGACATTAGCTACGGTTTTAAATAAATTTAAATATGTAAATACTTCTATTGAGAAAATAAAGAAAAAAACTATATTTATATTCTCTCTATCATTTTTTCAATCTCCTATTGTTAAGCATAAAGATCAACACAATTTTTAGGGTAGTTTGTGTGTATATTTGTGTGCGTGTGTGATATTGTCACTGGAATCAAACGTGTTGCTGGCATATCTTTAGATTGTTTTAATTTTTCTGGATGAATCTTTAAGAATCCATCGAAATCTAATCTAAGAATTTATCTCTAAGAATCCACATCGTGACTGGAACAAGTGAAGGTGCTTCTTAACGTTAACATTTTATTAAACAAAGACAACGTAGAAAAAAAGGAACATAAACATATTTTCAAAGACGAAAAATAACATAAACGTTCTTCTTTCACAACCCAAATCTCATCCTATATTCTTCTACAGGAAGATATACGATTTCCGGATTTTAATACATATAGTGGTCAAACTCAAACTGGCTGATCTAATATATCACCATTAAATGTATCAAAACAGTAATTTTTGTGAAGATTGTTGTAGTCAAAATGGTGTTTCCCATAAGAGGCGGGTAAGAATGAGCGAGGGCGTGAATATTAACGTCGCACTAATCAGATTCACGAGAGCTTTTGGCGACAGATCACGTAATTTTGAACCATGGTCAAGTAACGTGCATGACACCTGAGCTGGCACCCCCTCTCCTAACTACCACACCACACCAACGGAAGGACGTTTCAGCTCTCGACAGATTTAACGTGCATCGCTGCCCTACACGGCGGGTCTTTAGTAGTACTGGGCTCGAATTCATGACATGCCTGTTATGATCCGATACCTTAACCACTGGGCTACCGCAGCCCCGCGGGTAAGAATGAGAGCAAGATTAAAAGTAATGCC